ATAGGAATAATATAAGAGTAGACTTAGCTGTTTTCCCTCCACGCGTAAAACTAGTAAGCCACCGGGGTTCGCAGAATGAGTCACTCAATAAACAATTTGAATGAGTCACGAATATGACGAACAAGATAAGATTCAATTCGATACGATATTGTGACAACCTGCTGAGTTATACCTTTCAGTATACAGTATTGTTATCACGTTTGTGGCCTCCGGAACGTGGCGGATTTCCGAGCGTATTATCGTTAATATAATGATTATTAATGATATACACCTTTTGATGGGATACTGCTGTTGAGGTATACCATACAATATCGTTGAGTCAAGAAATATTAGGTATGCTATCACAATATTTTAATTCCGTCCTTATCAAGCAGTTTTGAATGCAGATAACACCAATTAGAATTCCTGGAGGATTGCAGTGATACCCGGTAGAATGAACATACAGTGCTCAATACAGTCGTCCGGTAGTGAGCAGTTGTGGTCAGCCCTTGATTTGTTGTCTTTCCCCTGTATCGAACCGTTAATTAAAACGGAACCTCTTGATTAAACTAAGACTTATTCATCAAATAAAATCTAATCTATTATTATCTTTCTAAACATTGTTGGTTATATTTCTGTGTACGCCTTTGTACACTAAGTATTCCATTACGATAGATATTGGCATCCAACATGAAGTAAAAAGAAACTTACCAATAAAAATTTTGGTAAGCCTGACCTTCAAATAATATAAAAACTATTCTCCGAAATAAAGGTAGATAGTGGTGGATATCTACAGTTGTACCGAGCCGCGAGGCGGTAGCAATCGATAGCCACCGACACCGAGGTAAATAATTAATTAATTACTAACTAAAATAGTGAAACAATATACACGCTAAAGTATCATTTTGACTAATTTATTCTTGCAACAACTATAACTTTTTTGGGCGCAATTCCTGCGCACATTGCTCGGAGGTGAATAGCAAAGGATATTCGGAGTTTGTGCAGCCAATCAGAGTGTGCCTTCGACGTTATCCCCTGTTTTAGTATATGCTAATTATCATGAAGAATTTGAGCACTAGCTTCTCACCGTTAGCCTTTGGATTCAAAAGCTGGCTTTAGTTTTTTTTTAATTTTCACTGTGAGAATCAGTTTTGTCCAACGCCAAACCATATCTGCTGATGATTAGTAAAACGTAATCTTCATACTCTAGTGTGTCAGGAAAAATCATTTGTATTACTCTCAAAAGCCTTAATCTATTTACGTAATGGCGATTTAGGGCTTGTTTTCGCTTCAGTTAAAAACACACACCCATACAAAAATAAAATTAAATATTCTGTTTCCATCGATGTGAACTTTTAAACTATTAATGGCCAAAGACCGAGTTTCTGCTTCCAGTTGTTGAAAAGGTGGATAACGCTATCCACTGGATAAATCTCTATCCGTTAGATAGCATAGTATGTTTTGTTAACACTTATGCGCTCAATAGGGATTTCTCCGTTACATAGCGTTATCTGCCCTTTGAACAAATGGGTCCTGGTATTTCGTTGAAGGACTGTCGTTACAATAAAAGTTGGTAAAGGGTCCAGCGGTCCGTTCATGGCGTATATTGAACCCGAAATA